GTAGTGGTTTCGGGATCAGAATGAAGCAAAGATATTTTCATCATTTCATTACGCTTATTGTATTGATTAGTAGGTGCTACCATCTCAGATAGCATTTCAACTGGACACTCGGGCTTTAAACTGTGCTGTTATAATCCTATACCTAAGCAATCCATAGACATGGCTTTTCGTTAGTAGCTAGTTTTGTTCTCTTGGGAATAGTTTAACTTTATTTTGCAAGCAAAATATTGTTGAACTTACTTCCATTTTGAGTGAAAGTGTTGGGTGAAGTTATTCAAAGGTCGGTTCCCCCAGAAGACGAGGGCGGATACCTTTTGACCAGCTGTCGATTCGCTTTACTGAAAGTTTTATGCTGACGTTGTTTCGCAGGTAATCTCCTTCAATTTTGATGAAAAAGTGCTAAGCTTTTGTTCGTCATATGACGAAATTCATCAGAGCAAAGTATCATCGTCACAACAACATTCAAGCTAACGAGTCAAGAAAACTCACTGGCAAATCACTAAAAAGTGGTATATATACGCTGCATCTGGCCTCTTTGATCAAGTATAAAGTGATTTCGTTGGTTAAGGTCATATGTCAACTTTGATGTCTGTGAGTGTGTCTGTCTCTGTATTTGTGTGTTCCTGTTTGTGTTCCTTTATGCACGAAACCAGAAGTGATGGCTCGAAATAATTAGGACAGCAAAAAGGAACGTCTGTTTTTTTGACAAACGAAAGCTTAGCACCTTTTCACCGGAATCGAAGGAGATTACATCGGAAACAGCGTCAGCATGAATCTTTCCGTAAAGCTAATCGACAACTGGTCAAGAGGAATCCGCCATCGTCTTCTGGTGAGACCGACCTTCGAATATCTTTAACCAATGCTTTCACTCGAAATGGAAGTAAGCTCAACAATTATGAAACAAGAGATTCTTCGAAATCCAACTTTTCTTTGCGAAAATATTGATTTGATTGATTTTAAAGGAAAATTTAATGCATTTAAACACTAAATTGATACATAAACAGGGTCATAATATATTTATTTAAATTTATCTGTATAATTCCTTTGTACTAAAGTATAAACTTTAAATATTTATATATATGGGCATTTAAATGAGTAACTGAACAAAATAGCTCGATTTTTATGTTATTATACGTAAAAATGTAGCCAGCCGAAACAAATTTATTAAACGTCTCTAAGGAAGAAAGATACAATATTATATAGTGTTTAAAAAGGATACATCAGAATATTCATTTTCGTTTGTTTGTGTTTATACAATAAGCAGATTTACTCGAGTTTCATTTTTCTTTACTATTATCAGAAGGCGGCATTTTTTAACAGGATGGCGTCTCTTATGTCCTCCTATGAGAAGCAATATGGAAATCTAACAAGTGAAATAACATTTAAGATGGGCAGAATACCTCGTCTGTTAGCAGGTATGTTTTTTTCTGCTGTAATTAGTTAGATGAAAAAAAGAAAGAAATACAAGGAACCATTCGTCTTTTCGATGAGACTAAGGAACTACTAGAACAAATGTCTTTAGAAGTGGAAGAACTACCTTTTGACTTAAAAACTAAGCAAGCAACACGAATGCAGTGCTTCAAAAGCGAATTTTTAAAGCTCGAGAAGGAATTTGTAAATTGTCTTGTTATATTTAGTTAAAGCATCACCCTCGCTATTCCTTACAATCCCAACGTTCCGATTCACTAAGTCATGATGACCACGTTGTTGATTATGATATGAAACAGAAGCTATTGGCTAATAACGTACACCTTGAAAGCTCCGGCCGGAAATTACGTGATGGAATCAGAACAGCTTATGAAACACAAGAAATTGGCTCACAAATCTTATCCGATCTCAACATGCAGCGTGGTTCTTTGCAGAAAAGTCGAGATAGGGCAAGTTGACGCATGTTTTAATTCTATTTTTATCATATCATTGATTATATTATCGCTTTTTGCGTTTTCAGCTTAGAACCACGAATGAAGAACTTGGTAAAGGGTCTAGGATTATTTCCGAAATGACAAGACGGTATGTTGATGCATTTTTATTAAATCGTATTTTATTTTAAACTGTTTATTAACTAATGTAACATGCTTTATTGTCATTTTCCTTATTTAACCCTTAGCTGTGGCTGAATGTGAAGTGCTTTTAAACATTAAGGAATTAACGGATAAAGTTTCACGTATTGATCTTATTTTACATTAATTTTTCGTATTTTAGTGTCATACATAATCGAATAGTGTTGGCGCTCTTTCTTCTCTTCATGATCCTTCTATTCGTTGCTGCAGTGTATTTCCTTATATCAAAAAATTTTAAGGCCTATGATACACCTACACTAGAATCTACGATTCCGCCATATACTACCAAAATATGAAATACAATCTAATGTATATTTAATGCTTCGCTGCGTCCTTTTTCTTTGAATTCAGAGTAATTTTGTACAGTTTTATCCTGGCTATGCATGTGTGCTTGATGCTGCAAATTATTTTTCTTTTTTTGGCCTGAATTTGTTATTCTTGTGGAGTCCGCATATGT